TTAAGAACTATAATCTCATCACAGTTTGAATGAGACGAGCTAACATGATACAACAGCAGCTAGCATTAGTGCTAGCATGCTAACTTTAACCTGGCCGTCCATAACTTTATTATTCTGCAGTGGAGCTTTAATTCGTGTTGAGCTCAGTGTGTTTACTTGCTCTTAGTGTTTAGTTAACCGGTCTTAGATTAAACTGGGAACTAGCTAGCTGGTTTAAAACTCACGGCAGGTACGACAACAGGTAAAATGAGAGGAGCAGTATTTGCTGGTATGTTTGAAGAGGAGACAAATGAGGCTCAATTTACTGTTTTCTTGTTTTAAAATGTGTCGTTGGGTTAAAACGCTTACCTCCACTCTGACGACGCTACCTTAGACGTAGTACTTTTGAGCAATAACAACAAACGTTTCTTATGACAACTGCTCGAAATGGTGCGTTCATGTTCAGCCCGGACAAACAGTGACTAAACACCAGGAGTCTGCTATTTCAAAAATGGATGGATGGATGAATATTTTAAGTTATGTATATAAATCTATTAAATATATTTTAAAGGGTCTACAATATATATTGACTAACATGGTCAAAAACACAAGATACCCAGGCTGAATTTTCTATTAATCATTAAAGATACGAGGTTTGTGAACACATCATTTTGTATCCTAAACTCAAACTGCTGTAGCGCCACCTGCAGGTCATAGGTTGAACTGCAAGATGCATGTATGTATGTATGTATGTATGTATGTATGTATGAATGTATGTATGTATGTATGTATATATGCATACATGTATGTATGCATGCATGTATGTATGTATGTATGCATGCATGCATGCATGTATGTATGTATGTATGTATGCATGCATGCATGCATGTATGTATGTATGTATGAATGTATGTATGTATGTATGTATGTATGCATACATGTATGTATGCATGCATGTATGTATGCATACATGTATGTATGCATGCATGTATGTATGTATGTATGAATGTATGTATGTATGTATGTATGTATGTATGCATACATGTATGTATGCATGCATGTATGTATGTATGTATGCATGCATGCATGCATGTATGTATGTATGTATGTATGTATGCATGTATGTATGTATATATGTATGCATGCATGTATGTATATATGTATGTATGTATGCATGCATGCATGCATGCATGTATGTATGCATGCATGCATGCATGTATGTATGTATGTATGTATGTATGTATGTATGTATGTATGTATG